ATAGCCAAAATCATGTGCTAAAACTCCTTGTCTGGTTGATGCTGGGACCCCAACATCTATTGTCCTGTGCCTTTGTTGGCTCCTTCTGCTTTATTGCCTTGTTTTAGGGGCAGGTATCAGTCCTCCCTGGGGAACCACAGTTAGTCTGACGGCCTCCAGATATACCTCAGTGATGCCAGAATTAAACTGACGGGGTTTTTTTATACACCTTGATCAAGGAAACTAGAGGGTGGAAAATGGCTGTCACATGACCTGCCATTGCTTTCCTAGTTGTATGTAAGTGACATTCTCTGTTAAGCCAGGCACACCTATCTGGCCACACCAGCCCAGCACATAAATGCTTTTGTTATTATCATAGAAGCCTCTTGTGATCAGACACAATATACTTCCCATTTCTGGGTCCAGAGTTTTCCGTCACCACTAGTGTTTCCCACCATGCTGTGGGTTCTGCTAGGTCCATGTGCCACGCCCGGGGCACTCGGACACGTGTTGGTGCTGTGCCCCCTTTGCCCTTACAACGGTGGTGTTTTCTCTTTTAGATCTTGCGCTTTAGTCGTGGGCGAAGCCTGAGGAAAAGGAGAGAGAGGCTCAAGGAAGAGAGGAGGGCCCAGTCTGTGCCCAGAGATGAGGTGGCACAGAGCAAGGTATGAGGGACCCTCCCACAGACCTCAGGTACCGCTGCTGCCCTCCTTGGCCTGTCCTTTCCCCTGGGTTCAGGCTGCTGCCCCTTCCCCCTGTCCCTGTAGTTCCAGATCCTGTATCTTTGTGTGTGTGTGTGTGTGTGTGTGTGTGTGTGTGTGTGTGTGAGAGAGAGAGAGAGAGAGAGAGAGAGAGAGAGAGCATCCTTATCTTCCCTGTGTGCCCTGTGTGCCTGTGGCGTTTATTGCATGGTGGTCACAGCAGTACTGTACCCTGAATTGTACAGAGCTTCAGTTCTGCAGCTGTGCTGCCCCTGCTGTCCCCTGGGGCCTGGTTAGTAATGCAGATTCCCAGGGCTCAGCTTGGACCTGTTGGCACAGGAACTCTGGGTCAGGGCAGCCAGGTCTGTTTGAACAAGTTTTCTAGGTGATTCTGAGACCCACTAGGCTGCTTCTTCAGTTTCTAAAGAGAGAATGTGATGTGGGAGTGTCATCTATCTGTTGCTTTCATTGGTTAATTAATAAAGAAACTGCTTGGCCTTTGATAGGCCAGCCCTTAGGTGGGTGGAGTAGACAGAACAGAATTCTGGGAGAAAGAAAGCCGAGTCAGGCAGTCGCCATGATTCTCCTCTCCGAGGCAGATACAGGTTAAGAATCTCCCTGGTAAGCCACCAGCTCGTGGTGCTACACAGATTATTAGAAATGGGTTAATCAAGATGTGAGAATTAGCCAATAAGAGGCTAGAACTAATGGGCCGAGCAGTGTTTAAAAGAATCAGTTTCTGTGTAGTTATTTCGGGTAAAGATAGCCGTGCAGGAGCTGGGCAGCGGGAAGCGGCCCGGCCTGCAGCTCCTACTACAGAGTGGCACCCAACGTGTAACAAAGTCCACGTAAAACCTGAGAGAGCTTAATTTTAGACAGAGAAAAAACAGAGTTTAATGCAGATTTTTGCTGTTTGTTGGTGGCGTGCTGTAGAGAGATTTCCTGATTCAGCAACAGCAGCAGAAAAAAAAGCTGCGTCATTTTAAAACGCGGCTTCCTGGGGCTGTGCTGCCAGTGCAAACTTTGGCTTTAAAGCATTTCAATGGCTTTTATGGGACTGGATGTTTGTGTTCCCGCTTGGGATTGGAAGGAGAGTGCTCTGAGACCTTGCCGATGGCTCAACGCTCTCCACCTGAGGTGATTCTGAGACCCACTAGGCTGCTTCTTCGGATTCTAAAGAGAGAATGGAGTAAGGCAACTCTCCTGGCTTCTGTGTGTCAGAAAAAGGTGACACGGGGCAAACCAGGGTTGTATAATAGATAGAATACAAGCTTGCTGGACTTGGAGATTTACCCTTCAGTGGGTGCCGTTGTGCAGTGTGCAATATATTTGATATCCTTTGTAAGTTCCTTTTGGGGGGAAAGAGGTCTCACTGTGTAGTCCTGGCTGATCTGGATGGAGCTTGCTAGCTAAACTGACCTTGAACTCCTAGAGATCTGATCCACCTGTCTCTGCTGAGATTAAAGGCATGTGTGAGGTACCTGGGTCTTTGAGAGTTCCTGGCAGGGACTATGTTACAGAGATCTTTTTAGACACATAAGATGTTATTACTAAGCTGGGCATGGTGCCACACACCTTTGATCTAAGCACCACAGTAAGCACCCAAGAGCATACTTCATTTCATCCCAATAAAAGCCCAGCCAGCCAGAAGCTGTTGCTGAGCCTGCCCACCAGGCAGAAACGCCTGTCACTGGCTGATGTCCCTGTGGGTCCGTGATTGGGTGGGATCTTGTAAGCACAAGTTTACCCTGCTGGGTCAAAGGCCAAAGGCTCAAGTGGAACAATCTGGGGGCTTTTCTTTTGTAGGGAAGTGTCTCAGCAGGAGATACCCCCAGCAGTGAGCAAGCTGTCCCCCCAAAAGAGGAAGCTAAAAGAGATTGCCCATCTGCTTCCCAGGAGCCCAGAAAGGAGGAAAGGAGAAGAAAGTCAAGGCCGGAGGTCAGGAGCAAGCAAGGGTGGGGGGGGGGGGAGGGGGGATTGGGGGTGGCATTAGGGGTTGGCTTGGAGGAGGGTCTGGGGTTACCTCCCAGGCTGGGACACCGTGCCTCTGGCTGGCTGTTTGGGAATGAGTACAAAGATGAAATTTACTGGCTGGAGACACCGGAGAGGGTGCTCACATGTTTCTGGGTGGCTGTGCTGCTCTGAGCTCAGAAGCAAGGTGGGGTTCTTTATATTTTATTTCTGAGAGGGGTGTCTTCTTTCTTCCCACAGGTGTCAGCACTATCTGACCCCACCCCAGCAGCAGACCAACAGCCTGGACACCAAAGGAACCTGCACAGTCATCACCACCCCAAAAAGAAGAGCAGACATCGATGCTGGTCCCCACCTCCGCCCCATGGATTCAGAGCATACCAGCTCTACACACTGTACCGGGGCGCAGATGGAAAAGTCATGCAGGTATCACCAGTTCTGACGGGCTAGCAGCCTGCAAACGCCAAGGGCTGGAGAAGCCCGTGCCTGGAGGTCAATGGCCACCCAGGGCTTGACTTAGTCAGACCTGAGTCACAAGGGCCCCCCCATCCGAAGACTGCAGCTTTACCATGTCATGTAGGCCCCAGAAAAAGTCCCTGTCCATAGCATCTGTACCATCCTGAGGGGACTTCTGTCTTGAGGCCTCAGAGTAGGCATTCTGTCCTGAACCCCAGAGGATCAAGCCTCTTTAAGTTAGTTACAGTATCTCACCCTCTGAATCTCAGTCCCTTTGGACTGAGACAGGACGTTACGACATTCCAAAGCTAGGAATAATGGGGATAAGTCTGTGCTCTCAGTCCTCTGCCTCCTGCTGGTATCCTACTTGGCACAGTGGTTGCCCAAGGACTAATTTACTATTCTCTCTGTGTGTGTGTGTGTGTGTGTGTGTGTGTGTGTGTGTGTGTGTGTGCGCACTTACAGAGGCCAGAGGAGAGTGCTGGGTACCATGCTCTATCACTTTATGTCTTTTTTTTTAAGGATTTAATTATTTATTAAGCATACAATGTACTGCTGGTGTGGAAGGCACCAGGTCTCATTATAGTTGGCTGCGAGCCACCATGTGGTTGCTAGGAATTGAACTTAGGACCTCTGGAAGTGCAGCCAGTACTCTTACCCTCTGAGCCATCTCTCCAGCCCCCACATCTTTACATCTTATTCCTTTGAGACAGCGTCTTCCACTGAACCTGGAGGCCAGCAAGCCCCAGTGATCCTCCTGTTTCTGCGATTACAGATGTGCATGCCTGGATTTTTCTGTGGGTGGGAGGATCTGAACTCAGGTCCTCGGGCTTGCGCAGTGAATGCTCTCGCCCACTGAGCCGTCTTTCTAGCCCCTGATTCCCTCTTCATCCCCCCCAGGCTCCGATAAAGGGTTGTCGCTGTGAACCTCTCATCAACAAGCTGGAGAACCAGCTGGAGGCGACTGTGGAGGAGCTCAAAGCCGAGCTGGGATCGGTGCAGGATAAAGTGAACGCAAAGCTGGGACAGATGGAGAGCAAGACCCAGCACCAAGTAAGCCAGTGGCTCCGTCTCCTGATGACAGGTGTGAAGGCAGAGGCGACTCAAAGACCTCAGGGCTTGTGGTGTGGCTCAGTGCTAGAGCCCTGGCCGAGCGTGTGCCAACCGTGGGCATATGCTGGAAGTTACGTGTTCCTGCCAGGCATGGTGACGCATACCTGTAGTGCCAGCATGTGGGAGACTGAGTCAGGAGGATCACAGATTCAAGGACAGTCTGGGCAATAGTGAGATTTGGTTTCTAGAAAGAGATGGGGGAGGGGAGAAGCTGGGTGGTTGTGGCGGTGTACGCCTTTAATCCCAGCCTTTGGGAGTCACAGGCAGGCAGATCTCTGTGAATTTGAGGCCAGCCTGGTCTACAAGAGCTAGTTCCAGGACAGCCAGGGCTACACAGAGAAACCCTGTCTCAGAAAGGAAACAAAAACAAAGCAAAACAAACAAAAAAATAGTGAAAGAGAAAAAGGGAAAGGGAAAGGGAAGGAAGGAAGGAAGGAAGGCAGGCAATACATTTCCATTACAGCGTTTTTTTAAAAAAACTATTAATATTTAAGTTTATTTTCTTCATCAGTGTTCTGCTGAGACTGGGTTCATGGTTTCAGGCTCACCTCAGATGCCCTTTGTAGCTGAGGAGGCCTCGGATTTGTGGCCTTCCACCCCCCATTGCCCGAATGCTGGGGTTGCAGGTCTGCCTTCCACCTCTGGTCTCATGTGCTGGGGACTGAACCCAGGCCTTCGGGTGTGTTAAGCAAGCACTTACCAAGTGAGGTACACCACCAGCTCCTGCACTCAGCTTTCTGTCAGGAAAGCTGACGAACACAAAGAAAAGCCAAGAGAAGATGATGATGGAATAGCACTGCTTTTATACTCATAGTGAGAGTCAACCAATTTTCTGTTTTGGTTTTAAGATAAAATCACACCATGTGGCCCAGGTGGGTCTTGAACTCTGACCCCTTTCCGAGTGCTGGAAGCACGGGCCTCCCATCCAGCTTCCGCTCTTGGTCTGCCGCCGTCCCTCCTCTCACCCCAGAGGAGACCGAGTTGCCGCGTCCTCTCGCTAGTTCAGTGTGCCCACTAGGGATAAGCCCCGGATCTATCACGTCTAAAAGAACCAACAATAACTGCGTGGTATCTGGGCCAGCTTTCACGGCTGTTCATGAGTATTTTATTTAGTTGTTTTTCACGGGTTATTCTTTTATTTAATCTTTTGAGATAAGTCTTAAGTAGCCCAGGCCATCCCCAAAGTTACTGCATTGCATAGCTGGGGTGATTGGTACATGCCGTCACACCCTGCTGCTTGGATGCTGTGGTCTCTCTGAGCAGCTCCCAGTTCCTTCCAGCTTTTTGTCTTTGGAGCATCCCTGCCGGTTGTCTCAGAGCGCCTGCTGTCTTCTGGATTGGCTCCCTAGGTTTTTCATGGGTGTTTAGGTTGTGTCTTCATCCCTGCATTTCTGCCCACAGAAAGGTCTGAGGCCATGAATGGTTCACAGTTCTGAGAGTGTAGTCCCTAGGCAGGGGTAGAGAGGCTGGCGAGGTGAACTCTTGGGCCTGTTCCTGATTTGCTGAGTTGAATTTAATCACCATGACTGGAATTCTGAGTGGGACCCACAAGTCTGTGACTAGCAAGACCTCCAAGTAGCTGCTTCTAAGTCCGTGAACAACAGTTCAATACAGTTACTTAGGTGCCAATAAAAACTTGTACAGGCATAAGTCATGGTCAGTGGTGTGAACTCCAGACTGAGCTCTGCATAGAGGCTCTTTAACGTCAGGGTACTTCAGGATCACTGATGCTAAGTTGGGTACTTGTTTTCTTCCACCGTGAAAGTATACTTTTCTCAGGACTAGGAAATACTCAATGAGTAAGATTTTTCATTGAGATACATTTTAAGTAAGCATATGGAATAATAGGCTTTGGAGAAAGCCCACGCCAGTAAAGAACTGTGATTCCTAGCACCATTTCCTAGCGCTGGCTTCCTCATCTTCGTGGGGTTTTTCAGCGCTCAGGACTGCCGTGATCTTTAGAGCCTTCTTTTCCATCCTGCTGTGTGCGTCACAGTGCAGTGCCGTGCCTGTGTGGGAGAGTGATATTTATGTACCCTTTTAATTTTATATGTCATGAGTACTGTCCTGTATTTTTATCTGCATAATATTCGCCTATTAAACAACGTAATTTACTTAACCACTTATTATTAGAGTTTTCTCCTACTCATAGGAATAATGTTAATGTAAACATTTATATATGTCATTTTTGGCTACTTCTCAGACTTTAAAGTGTTTTACATATAATTGTGTGTGTGTGTGTGTGGTGGAGGGCAGAGGACGACCCGTGGGAGCTTATTCTCTGCTCCGTGTGAGTCCCAGGGATCGAATTTCGGTTCAGTCTTGGTGGCGATGTCTTTACCTCTGACTCATCTTGCTGGCCCATCCTCAGCCTTGGGTTTAGTGTTAGGATGTGTTAATGTTCGGGATGAATGCTGGCAGCTTACCTTGGAGGAAGGGCGTGCCCATTTACATCCCTCCAGTATCTGTCTCAGATTTTTGCCATCATTTAATATTTTATTTTTTTCAAGTTTACATTATGTGGACATTTTACTGTAAGTTTTATTTCCTTGTTCATAGTGAAGCTGATATCTCTCTCTTTCTCTTGCTGGGGATGCTGAATTAACACACATCCTCACTCTGTCTCTTCCTCTTTCAGACAGTATCTCACTGTGTAACCCTGGCTGGCCTAGGACTTGCTATATAGACCAGGATGGCCTGGAACTCAGAGAGACCCCTGCCTCTGCCTCCAGCATGCTGGGATAACAGGTGCACCATGATGCCCACTGAGGCAGAACATTTTTCTGATCTACTTGCCTCTTGCATTCTGGGAAAAGAATATTTGAAAACTCTTCAGGTCATGATGTATTAATCAGTCTGTACCTCCAAAGGACTGGGCCAGATGAAAGCTAGATCCTTGCCCCCACCCTCAGGTTAGTGTGGGGAGGATGGCAGGTTGGCGAGAAGGCTCAGCCCTATTTCTAAGCGGCAAGGACAGGACGTGAGCCCAGCAGCGTAAGTCAGGTGCCTGAGCCAATGCTGTCACTTTTACACCTGGCTTCTTGGTGTGGACGTCTCTGTAGCAGAAGGGGAGGAGAGGGCATCCTGGGAAATAGGGAGAGTAAGCAGTTCCCAGAAAAACAGCGGAACCCAAGAGACACAGCTGCTCACCCACCTCTTCGGGAACTGGCACAGCCCCACTGAGAAAGTCTGCCTGCATCACCAACAAGACATGGCCCTTGTGGCTGGCCTCTTCCAACACTAGCTTTTTCTCTGTTTGGGGCCCTGTGAGATCAGTGAGCTTGGTCTAGCCTAGGAGTTAGGGCCCTACAGGAAATGTTACAAGGCCCCAGAAAGGTCTTTGACTAAATGATGGTGGTCACTTGTCCTCATAGCCTGCCCTGATTGCCTTTAATGAAGCCCTGGGAAACACGTTCACCGCGGTTTTTAGTTGTTCCTGATAGCTATGGCTCTTACATTTTAGGGCCTATCAGAATCCCTGCCTACATTTGCTGATGTTGTATATTTTTGTGAACTCATGGTCTATTAAGCGCTTAGGGCTTAGAATGAGAAAAAGGGACAACAGTGACCTTATAAGAAATATGTTCAGGAATTCTGAGAAGCTAGGGTTTCATACTGTGAACCAAGGACGGAAGGAGGAGCTGAAGCTGGTTCCCTCTTTCGTGGACTCTCCTGAGTGGGAGCCGGAGTCCATTTTTAGTCATTTCAGTATCCTCTGTCTCCTTGAACCCTAGATGTGTGTTTTGGACAAACTGATGGTGGAGCGGCTGTCGGCAGAGAGAACAGAATGCCTGAATCGCCTGCAGCAGCACACAGCTGCTGAGAAGCAGGAGGGGGAGAAGCGGCAGGTAAGAATCAGCCAGCCCTTCGCCCCTGAGTCATTGCCTGTCTGCCCAACTGGTCCAAGTCCAACAGTGCAAACCCAGAGGCTGAGAGTGCATTCCATAGCCTGTTGTTTGGTAGCTCCAGTAAAGTCAGTAGCAAAGGGCACGCAGTCTTGTTTGAGCCTGTTGCTGAGTCTGCTGGCAGGACGTGGAGACAGTATGCTGGAGAAGAAGCTGTTCTGTGATTGGGCCATTCATCAGCTTCCTCTTTGGGAGTCTACTGCCTTTCCGGGTCAGCAGCAGGGCTGAGTACCTGGGAGTTTCTGAAAGCAACCAAAAACACCTGGCTTGGAAGATTTGCAAGGCATTTAGGCATCTGAGTTCTAGTGACCTTGGTTTGGTGGTAGGCATGGCCGTGGGAGGATGAACAATCCCTAACCTTTCAATGTGTGTAACCTCAAGTGTTGTAATGTGAAAGTTCCTTCTTGGGGACCAGAGAGCTGGCTTAGCAAGTGTGTTCTACTCTCCAGAGGCCCCGTTGCTGGGTTGCTCACAACTGTGTGATTCCAGCTGCAGATCTCCTCACGCCCTTCTTCCCTCCCCTACATGCATACATGGGGCGAACATTCACACAAACACACACACACATTTTTTTTTATCAAGGAGTGGGGGCAAGGAAGAGAGAAGATGTGCACCCCAAGGCACATGTGTGGCGCTCAGGACAACTTGAGGAAGCCAGTTCTTTCCTCCTGTCTCGTGGGTTCTGGGGATTGAACTGAGGTCTTCAGACTTGGCTGCCAGCGTTTTCAACACTAAGCCATCTTACCAGCCCTTGAAATACACCTTTTAAAATAATTTTTTAAAGATTATTTTATTTATTTGTATGTGTGGGTGTTTCGTCTACATGTGTGTCTATGCACCTTGTGGGTGCCTGGTGCCCTTGGGTCTCCAGGACAGGAGTTAGACTGTAAAGTGGCTGTGAACTGACGTGTGGGTGCTGGGAATAAAACTTGGGTCCTCTAGGAGAGCAGTCTGCCCTTAGCCACTGAGCCATCTCTTCAGCCCCCCAAAAGTTCATTCTTGATGATTTAATTCATAAGCCATATCAAATTCAATCTTGTACGTATTATTTGTGATTTCAGATGTCCTTGGTGGACGAATTAAAAGCCTGGTGCATGTTGAAGATCCAGAATCTGGAGCTGAGGCTGTCTGGAGAGTCTCGAACCTGTAGAGCTAAATCCACACCATCTCCTTGTGACTCCTCTGCAGGTGACCCACACTCCCTGATCTGAACATTGTCCACAGAGCAGATCTGCAGCAAGCACAGTGAGGTCGGGTGTTAGGAAGCATGGCGTATCCAGACCCGTGAGAGCAAGGAATAAAACGAGGGATACTGACAGGTGGCCTGGTGTGTCTAAAGACCATGACCAAAAGCAGCCTGCTGAAGAAAGTGTTTATTTGGCTTAAACATCCCAGGTCACACTCCAGGGTAGGAGCTTGAGGCAGGAACCTGGAGACAGGAACTGAGACAGAGCGTGAAGGAGATACTGCTCACAGACTCGCTCTTCATAGCTTACTCGGCTTGCTTTCTCCTATACCCCAGGACCACTCACCCAGGGTAACAGCTCCCACAGTGGGCTGGGCTCACACATCAACCATTAGTGAAGAAACTGTGCCCGCAGTAGGCAATCTGATGGAGGTGGTTTCCCAGTTTAAGTCCCTCTTCCCACATGACCCTAGCTTATGTAAAACTGAGAAAAACCAACCAGCACAATGAGGGCCAGTAAATCCTGAAGATGAGGGGAGATGAAGGACCAGCTTTCTTTTGGGCGTGGCTTCCCCCTCCTTATTCCTACTCAAGTAGCCTTTTGCCTTTACCTAAACCTGCAAAGCTGTTTCAAGCAGTAGCGATGTCCCAAGCTTGCCCTAGGTGATAAGACACGCTCTCAATGAACTCTTACCCTGCAGTGAGTACACGTGATTATTTTTAAAGCTAGCACATGTTCGTTGTACAAAATGATGGTTCCATATTTCCACACACTTGCATCATCCCTGGTACCTCCACATCTGATAATTCATTTCCTTTTCCCAAACAGCCCCTCTTCTATGTTATTGCTTTTTAAAAAATCTAGATTCTAGTTGGAAATGGTGGCGCATGCCTTTAATCCTAGCACTCAGGAGGCATAGGCAAGTGGATCTCTGTGAGTTCAAGAGATCTACATTTTAAGTTCCAAGACAGTCAGAACTACACACACACTTTGTTTCAAAAAAATAAAAAAATTCTAGATTCTGAATATGTAGGAAAAATATGTACCATCCTTTTTCACCTGAGTTATTTCACTTATATTAATCTCAGGCTGTATCCATTTTCCTATAGATGATATCATTTTTTCTTTATGGCTGAATCAAACTTCATTGTGTGTGTAAGCCATATTTTATTTATACGGTAATTCTAAAGACATTAAAGCTGAGTAATTAGGTCCTACTGGGGAGCTTTGATAGGTCAAGTACTTCCTATAGCCCCATCTGTCTACATAGCTTTATCTTCATACCAACATATCGAGACAGCTGTGAGCCAACTCTTCATGCTAGGACTAGCTATGGAACTGCTGTAGTGAATGGAACATAGGTCAAGTGGATCAGGAGTGCTGCATACCTTCCTCTCAACTCTGCTGTACCCCGAAAATCATTCCCCCTCAAAAAGAGTTGCTGGTGGGGTGTGGGATAGTGCATACCTTTAACTCCAGCATTTAGGGTTAGCTGGTGGGGTGTGGGATAGCACACACCTTTAACCTCAGCACTTAGGTTAGCTGGTGGGGTGTGGGCTAACCTCAGCATTTAGGAATCAGTGGCATGTGGATCTCTGTGAGTTCAGGACGATATAGTGAGACCTAGTCTCAAACAAGCAAAGAAAAGGTCCAAAAAACAAATTGGTATATAGTTTTATGTCCCAGAAATGAAGAGCATGGGCATATTCCCCATCGTAGATCAGCACTCTTTCTGTGTGCTGAATTTACAGCACTGTAAATTCTGTCATTTTTAGGCATTAGAAACAAGACCCAGAGCTTTCTAGGGCAGACAAAACAGGATAAAGGCAAGGCCAGAAATTTACCCTATATGCTCTTCCTGTGGCTAACACAGAATCCAAGAGCCCTGCTGAACTAAGATGAGAATCCTGGAGAAAA